TTTAGGAAAAGAACATCCTATTTTAGTATAGAGGTAAAATAAATGTAGACGAAATTTATATAGGTAACGAAAGTACTTAGTATTAAATTTAAATAAGGAAAAATCACTTAAAAATACTTTAAATAAACATACCGGTAATCTATATCCAATATGGAATAATTAAAATCGGCATTCAATTCATAAGACAGTACAACACTATTTATTTTTTCGATTATTATACGGTACACTGAGTAGCGGCTAGCAAAAAAGATGGCCACGTGTTAACTTGACCTTAAGACATGAGTCATAATAATGCACCCTTTCGCGCCTCTCCAAGCGTGAATGCACCTGGGCACTACTATTCTAGCCAATCTAATTTCACTCTTAATTTTATATAAATAAAGTATGATTTTAAATACGCTTATGATTGTATTATAAATTCATTCTAATTTCAATTCTATTAAGTTATGTTAAGACTTAATTCAGAATATCAAGTCTAAAGAAAGTTGACAGGTGTGAAGAACGGATCTTTAATGAACGTTGAATATTAATATTGTACATTGTTTTTTTTTTAATTGTTGTCATTCTAGATTATTTGAATGAATAACATTAAAACAATTATAAACGGTAATAATTTTTTTTATTAGTTATTTGTATATAAATCCAAGATTTAATATTTTAGATACTTGTATCACCTTGAGAAAAATTTTTGCTTTATAAATATGTAAGTTGTTAGGTGATTATATTATTAATGTAGTCTGTAAAATTGTTTAGTTAAATGGATACAAGGTCAAGCCCTATATATTAAAATTAATGATATATTTTTTTATAGTAACTTTCTCATTAGCAAAATAACGTTCAGAAATCATACGTTACAATTACAAAAAAAACTAGGAAACCATAAATCGCTCGTGCGTTACGGTTGTGTATAAACATCTGCTTGACCTTTTGTATCGCACCTTTCTGCAAAGAAATGTGGGCAATTTATTAAAGAAATTGTACTATACATAGTTTAAGCGTTGAGACGTATGGAGAGAATAATAGACTTTTCACTTGTTCAAGGAATGTTTTATTGAAAATATTTACAGTTATTTATACTAGAAAATTGATTACATATAGAATATGAATAACCAGCACATTAAAACAGGCGTTTTGATTGGTCGCCGCGCATACGGTTTCGTCTTTAATGCGCATGCGTTTAATCGGTATCACTGCGCATGCGTTAACCGTGGTTATATCTGTCACTCCAGCGAGCGCATCGGTCTTTTGGATCGCGCGCGCCGGGGAGTGACAACATCTTGAAAACGCTGCTAACTGAAGAAAAAGAAGACTACGTCGTGGCGAGGGGCCGGCATCGTGTCATCAGTGTTCCTGTTTCAATGATGAAAGCGTCACCAAATCCAGCGATGAGAACGTCTTTATCAATACACTATTGTTATTAATATGTGTACCTGTTTCAACGATGAAAACGTCACCGAATCCATCAACGAGAACGTCTTTATAAATAAATAAACTATTATTACTTCGTGTACGTGCTGCTACAGTAATCCCCCTCAAGTGAAACGTACCGGCAACTTGATGGAGCGGCCTAGTCGAGTTGATGTACGAGTAGGCTGTGACGTCATGTTGTTCGTATCAGCTGATTTTTCAATTGGTAAGGTTTTGATGGTAACTCTGGTATCCTTTGTAATGGTTTTCTTGGTTTGAGGTAAATCTGAATTTTCGGTATTTAATACATATGCAGGCTTCAGTCGATCAATTGAGATGCATGTTTGACGATCGGGTAATTGAATTGTAAAGACTTTATCTGTTCTGTTTACAACTCGAAAGGGGCCTTCATAGGGTGTTTGAAGCGGTGATTTGACTGCGTCGACTCGAATAAACACGTACGGACATGTTCGTAGGTCTTGATGTACGAAAATGTGTTTATTATTTCGTTGCGAGTTCGGTAATGGTTTATATTTCTGTATATTTTCTCGTAATTTTTCGACGTAATTATAATTTAATGATGCTGAGTCTGTTGTTTTATTTGTATCGAGGAAATCACCTGGAAGTCTTAAATTATAGCCGTAGGTAAGTTCGGCTGCGCTTACGTTGTTATCGGTGCGTAAGACGGCTCGTAACCCGAGTAGTATAGTAGGTAACTCATTGATCCATGACGTTGTATCGGATAGTTTGGCGCGTAATGCGTTCTTCAATGAACGATGCCATCGTTCGATCATTCCGTTGCTTTGTGGATGATAAGGCGTAGTTCGTATTCTTTGTATTCGGAGTATTTTCATTAAGTTTTTAAATATTTGACTTTCAAACTGTCGGCCTTGATCGCTTGTTATAGTAGCGGGGCATCCGAATCGACTTATCCAGTTGTTGTATATGCATTCTGCGACTGTTTCGGCGGATATATCGATTGTAGGTATCGCTTCGGGCCATTTCGTATGTCGATCGATCATGGTTATTAAATATCGGTAACCTTGAGCTGTTGTAGGTAACGGTCCGACGATATCTATGTGCACGTGTTGAAAGCGGTCGGTTGGCGGGAACGAATTTATTTTGCTGTGTGTATGACGTTGTATTTTGCTCTTCTGACATTGAATGCAATTTTTAGTCCACGTTGCGATGTCTTTATTCATGGACGGCCAAAAGTATTTTCTTGTTATTAATTTCCTTGTTGTTCGCGTTCCGGGATGACTGATATTATGTATGTTGTTAAAAACTTCTTTACGATGATCGGTAGGTATGTAAGGTCGTATGAATGATGTTGATGTTTCACAAAGTAATTCTATATCTGTATTAGGAATATTTACCCTTTTGAATGATAGGTTGGTTTGTTGAAGTAAATGTTGAATGTTGTTGTCACTTCGTTGAGCTGAGGCTATTTCTTCATAATTTATTGTAGAAGGGCAGGATATAGTTTCGACACGACTTAAAGCGTCGGCGACGATGTTTTGTTTCCCACTTACGTGACGTATGTCGGTTGTAAATTCACTAATGAATAATAATTGTCTTGTTCGTCGCGGCGTCTCGTTGTTTGTTGATGTTTTGTTCATAGCAAACGTGAGTGGCTTGTGGTCGGTGAATATTATGAGTGGTCTGCCTTCGAATATTTTCCTAAAGTGTTTTACTGCCATATATATAGCAAGTAATTCACGATCGTATGTGGAGTATTTTTTCTGAGCGTCTGAGAATTTCTTTGAGAAATAACCGAGGGGCTGCCATGTATTATGTATGTACTGTTGTAGTACGGCTCCGGCGGCGTTGTCTGAGGCGTCACTGAATATGGCGAGTGTTGCTTCGTGAGACGGGTGAGCGAGTAAAGTCGCGTTACTGATGCTAACTTTACATGCTTCGAATGCTTGCGTTGCTTCGTCGGTCCACTCGATTATAGTTTTATCGCGCTTCTTAACGTTGTGTAGATATGAATTTAGCGGAGCTTGTATAGTGGCGGCGTTTGGAATGTGATCTCTATAGAAATTTAACATTCCTAGGAAGCGTCGTAGTTCTTCAACTGTTTTCGGTTTCGTATAGTTGACGATAGCCTTGACTTTATCATCGGGTGGTTTGATGCCTTGTTCCGATACCATGTATCCTAGGAATTTGACTTGCTGTTTTCCGAAATTACATTTGGCGGGGTTTATAGTGATGCCGTGCTCTTGAAATCGTGTGAGTACAGTTCGGAGGTGTTCTCGATGTTCAGTTTCGTTAGCTGAAGCTATCAAAACGTCATCAATGAAAGGGAATACGTAATCGAGTCCTCGGAGCACTTCGTGAATATATCGTTGAAAAGTTTGTCCGGCATTCTTCAGACCGGGACACATTCGAGGGAATTCGAATAAACCCATTGGTGTTATGATTGCTGTCTTCTCAATGTCTTCAGCGCGGACCTCAAGTTGTTGGTAGGCGCGGTTGAGATCGGCGGTTGAAAATATGGATTTACCTGAGAGATGATGTGTGAAGTCCTTGACTCTCGGTACTGGGTAGCGATCGGGTTTCGTTATCGCGTTGAGTCGTCGATAGTCACCGCACACTCTTATATCCCCATTCTTTTTAGGTACAATATGAAGTGGCGATGACCATGCGCTTTTACTAGGACGACAGAGTCCTTGTTGCATCATATTCTCAAATTCTTTCTTAACGGTTTTCGTAACGATGCGGCGGTATAGGTCGTGCTCGGCAGTGGATCGGAGGTCCCGTAGTTTCGATATAATGTTCGACGTTGATTTTAGTTCCCAGCTTCATTGCGGTAAGTCGTGTTATGCCGGGGAATTCAGCGAGTATGTCGTGGTACGCGTCGCTTATGTCGATGCTTCTTATTGTGGGTGTAGTAGTTGATTTAATCGGCACGTTTACTCGTAAATTCGTTACGGCGTCGATTAATCTTCGATTGTTGATATCAACGATGAGTTGGTGATAGTTTAAAAAATCGGCTCCTAATATAGGCTTCGATACATCGGCAACTATAAATTTCCACTTGTACGGTCGTCGTAGATTTATATCGAGTTCGAGCGTTCGTTCTCCATACGTTGATATTATCGTGTTGTTGGCGGCATATAATTTGAAAGGTAGCGGCGTCGATTTCTGGCCTGGTTTTCGAGGTAGTACGGAGATATTGGCTCCCGTGTCTACTAAGAAAGAGTAGTTCGTTTTTTTATCGGTAACGAACAGGCGGTATGATTTGTGAACGCCGGATTCCGCCTCTGCCAACGTTCGGTCTAGTTTTCCGACTTCGTGTGGTCTTTACTATAACTACACGGCGTAGTACACCGTCGGGCTTGACTACCGAAACGGCGGTGATAGTAACACAGTGGAGATGGCGAATTATGACGACTGCGATGTGTTGACGATCTGCGTTGGCGGCTTCGGGAGTGATCTCTCCGATGTTTGAAGTTGTTATATGACGGTCGTGCCTTTAATTCAGCTACTTCGAGTGATAGCTTTCTTATTTCGTTAATAAGAAATTGGGTGTCGATGTGGCTCGAAGTAGTGGCTTGCAGCGGGCTAGGTGCTGATTGTACGGATGCTACCTCCTGGGTTTGTTCTATCATTTTGTCAGCGAGCATAGCTAGCTCTTCAAGTGTCGTCTTAGAGCTGAATTGTTCACTTACAGCGAGTACGGAGCGAACGTGAGCGGGTAATAATTTCGTCCACATCATTCGCAGCGTCGAGTCTGAGATCTTATCTCTGGCTAGATTCTTCATGCGTCGGAGTAGCTGAGTCGGCTTTTGATCGCCGAGCTCCATTTCGGCTAATAGTTTCTGAAATTGACGGCTGTCGGACTCCTCGTATACTGAGATAAGACGCTCTTTGATCGCTTGGTACTGCTGCTCTTTCGGTATGTTGAACAAAATGTCGGATATTTGTTCGATATCCGGCTTCTCCAGTTGTACCAGAACCATCTGCGTTAATTGAGCAGAGCTTTTCTTGAGGTCGTCAGTGGCTGCTTCAAAACTGTGATACCACAGCCGTGGGTTTTCACGCCAGAAGGGAGGTATGCGCATTGACAGCGCTATACTCGATACTTCCGCGGCGGCTTGAGAGCTGGCGAGAGCTTGAGGTGGCTGGGTTTCCATTATTTCGATATTTTTCGTTTTTCGGGCAGGGATTCGTCCGGATTCCTTTTCTTCAGAGGTTTCTTGTTCTGTCGGGGTCACCACTTTAAGCGTTGAGACGTATGGAGAGAATAATAGACTTTTCACTTGTTCAAGGAATGTTTTATTGAAAATATTTACAGTTATTTATACTAGAAAATTGATTACATATAGAATATGAATAACCAGCACATTAAAACAGGCGTTTTGATTGGTCGCCGCGCATACGGTTTCGTCTTTAATGCGCATGCGTTTAATCGGTATCACTGCGCATGCGTTAACCGTGGTTATATCTGTCACTCCAGCGAGCGCATCGGTCTTTTGGATCGCGCGCGCCGGGGAGTGACAACATCTTGAAAACGCTGCTAACTGAAGAAAAAGAAGACTACGTCGTGGCGAGGGGCCGGCATCGTGTCATCAGTGTTCCTGTTTCAATGATGAAAGCGTCACCAAATCCAGCGATGAGAACGTCTTTATCAATACACTATTGTTATTAATATGTGTACCTGTTTCAACGATGAAAACGTCACCGAATCCATCAACGAGAACGTCTTTATAAATAAATAAACTATTATTACTTCGTGTACGTGCTGCTACAATAGTATACTGAAAGATCAGATGTTTATAACAGTTTTTACTACTGTAAATACTTCGTTATTACCATAGCAAGCTTTCAATGTTTTATCTGTTCTTTTAATGGTCTGTGTTAGTTAATTGTGAATAGCAGATGTCCAGTTATGCGGGATCACCCACAGAGGTTATTGTAACTTGATTATTCATTAATATATATAAACATCATTACGATTATTGTAGACTAATATTATATGATGTATTGTTTTAAATATATATTGTCAAATTTACAAAACATCTACATACAAGTCCACCCCACTTGATCTCGCAAAAATGCAAAGCAAAGCAATCAGGTCTCTAGATTAGTCGCCCCAATGCAATCCCAAATTAAATCCATCCCAGAAAATTGTGACAAACGCCATCCGTCATCCTACCCCTCATTTGCATGAGAAAAACTGTTGAAGAACAACTATTTATCAAATGGCAAGAGGACTTCCGGATATGGCGCGACGTATTTCCGTCGGCCATCTTTGTTGAGTAATACATTCAGCCTATTGTGTGACAATTACTGGATGTGTCAGATATTTGATGGATTTAATGTGTTAAAAAAATGAGAGAAAAATAAGATTATAATATTTATATTTTATATGAAAAGTAAATAATGATAATTATTTATTTATTATATGAAAATAGATAAAATATTGTTAAGAATCTCTTCTAGTTAAAGTACCGTGAAGTTGATTGGGGAGCGATCTCCATTTAGATAATTTAGTGTTTCTCCCGCGATGAAATATTTGAATCTGTTGATTCTGATTGCGGCCTGATGTTGTTATCTTGATAGCCGCCATTTTGTTTCGACCTGTTTCATCCATTTGGATTTTCGCTAATGGTCTACTGATTTTGTAATACTGTTAGAATTATTTATAACGTTTCTCATTTATAATATATAATTTCATTTATTTTTATTTTAACATTATTTTTATTATTTAAAAGTGATCCATATCTATAGTCAAATAAAAATATAAAAACAATAATTAAAACATTTCATGATCATTGTTTTATTTATTTTATTTTGAACTAAAGTATATTTTTGATTTCGTATAAAGTTTGATTGTAATAAATTTTTGTTAAAAACATTTTGCGTAACGCGGAGATTACTTTGATTTTAGAAGAACTGTTCTATAATTTCGGCAGACCACTCATCCCTTCGATAGCTCAGTTGGTAGAGCGGTGGACTGTAGATGTATTTAAACTGATATCCATAGGTCGCTGGTTCAAATCCGGCTCGAAGGAACTTTTTTTGTTTTTTTTTTCTTACATAATAAAATTTTAGGATTTTTAATTACATTCCTACCTTAAGCAATCCTTTAAAACTTCAATCTTTTTTATTAACAATAAATAAGTTAATTAACAACCCGGACCGAACGAAAGAACCTAATTATTTCTTTCAAAATGCTGCAGACAAATTATCCCAAATTGAATTCAACTCGATACAAAGAGTTTCTTAACCCCCAAATGTCATTTGTGACTCTTAGGAGCGTGTTGAATCAATTACAGGGACAGTCTATTGTGCGGCAGGTCTTGGATACGAATTAATTTGGAAATAAAAAATATATTTACTAAACTCTAATGGCGTTTGTTGTAATTAAGGGAAGAACGTTATGTTTTTATCTAGAATACTTTTTTATTTAGTATTGTTATTATATTTATTTTCTTTAAGAATTTTGTATGAAAATGTTTTGATATTAGAAGAATTAATCATTAGCCTGATTTTAAAGAATAGCAATGTTTTACTTTTATCTTTAAATATTGACATTGCTCTGTTTTAAATATTTGACAGTTAAGTTTCCCACGTCAAAATAAATTAAAAAAAGTATTACCTATAAAAAATAATTTAAACTAGAATAATTACAAAATATATATTTTTTATCGTAAATATTATAACTGTACATTTCATTCAGCCATATATAATTTCAAATTTAAAAGTAATATTCCCATCGAAAGACCAATTATTCGCAAATGAAGTTAACCCTTTGAATGCTTTGTGGAACATTTTAATTGCTAAATCGGAAAGGGATAAAAAAATCTGATCCCATTGTTGTCTGTCAAGTCATGGTTGTCATTTATGTGGTTGGTAACTAATATATTGGTATATTAAGTATATGGATATATTAATATATAATCATTTATATTAAAATTTTTCATAGTATTAACTGATAATAAAATCTAGGATATTCGCTAGTTTTATTCATTTAAATGAAACTAATATTTTTCGGATATACTACGCGTGCTTTATTTTTGTAAAAAACTACATACTCGCGAAGTTTCAGCTACTTTTCAGCAACCGTGATCACGGGCAGATGAGATGTGTCATCTCAAAATAAAGTCATCATCATCATCAAAATAAAGACGCGTAGTATATCCGAAAAATATTAGTTTCATTTGAATTTAATCTTCATTAACTTTCTTGGTCTAATTTCATCTTGCATAATCCTTTCTTATCCTAAATACATATTGTTAGTAATAATTTAGATTGTGATTCTTTTTATAATTCTACGTTTACCGTTATTTATATTCATTATTCTGATATTAATTCTGAATTCTTATGATAGTTAACTACCGCCCTCTATATGATGTTATAACATACCCTCACCTAAATATGTTACCTTTGAATAATATAGGATGGAAATGCTAGACTGTGGAATTTACGAGTTGTGTTATAACATCTAAATAGAAGTATTTACTGCCTAAATTATATATAATGTAACATTTAACTCTGAATAAGTTCACATTAAGGGCACGCGATCTATTCATAGTCTTAATTACTTTTATGTGAAAGGCAGCTATCAGTCAAAGTACAATAAATATGCAAAGGGTTATGGTCCGATTGGCCACGGTCGGTATTAATATCTTGATCCGTCAGCGGTGACGGAGAAGATAGATCGGGATGGGGTTGATGCAGAGATTCTCAAAGTTAAATACGGTTCATCATACATAAGAAACAGTCTATTTTTCATGCAAGAACTATGAAAGGAAAGAGTTTTTTATACGTTACTAGCTGCGCCCCGGTGTTACCTGCGGATTTCCGGGATGTAAAGCCTATATGTTATTCCTGGACGTCAGCTTCCTGTATACAAAATTTTATCAAAATCAGTCCAGCCATTTGAGCGTGAAAAAGTAACAAACATATACACACTCACAAACTTTCGCAATTATAATATTAGTAGAATATAATAATATTCCTTTTGTAGGCTCATACAATGTTAGCATTCTCATTATGCGTCATATCTTAATATTTTTTTAATGTATGAACTTTGGGAACATATAGCGTTGTGATTTATTTAGCAGTGAAGGTTTAAGTCACCATTAATTAAGGGGATCACGCATCACTTCGTTAAAAGAAGGGATTATTTCTGTAATTTGATACCATACATATTTATTTCTTAAATACCGATTGTATATTCAATGAACGCCTGATGTTTTTTTATAGCAATGTTTCATAAATGTTACACTCGTATAAGTTGTATACTATTAATTTAATTTAGTTTATTTTTAGGAGTTTCCTTATAAAATGTTATTTTTCTATTTGTATTGTTAATAAATAATTATTATATAACTTTCGTACCGTCTATGGCTTCTCTTTGTATAAGTAATTTCAATATATCTTTCTCACATTAATTTCACCTCTTCGTCAGTACCTATTTATTAAGCTGATTTCAAAATCACTTGATCTCTTGTTAGCTGTAATTGAATCCTTTATTAATGGTAATTGCCCGCATGCTAAATAATCTTCTGTTAAAAAAATCTTTATTAGCTCCTTGAATACATTAGTATGAAATTTTGCAAATAAATAGGTCATAATATAAATTAATTTCCTCTTTAATCTATCTACATATACTACAAACATGAAAAAGCCTTCAATTTATAAAAAAAATGTCCTAGAAAATGCTGAATTTTATTTTAGTCTTATTTTATTACTACAAACGACCACATACAAAAGTAGTCTACATATTTTCTTTACATATAAAATCTTTGCCACTATCATATCTCAATCGCAAATAAGTGTACGTACGCCTCAAATATCACTTCATTGGGAGGAAATTTATGCAGATAAGCAGAATTGTCGTCAATGTGCCCGCATCTTTACAATATTCGCTCGTTAAACTGTCACTTGTCAGTTTATGTTATGACCATTTCTTGTGTACTTATAAATACTATAATAATTCGGACAATTCTTTGCTTTTTATTATGACTATAAGACATCAAAAGAGGTTTTGTATTATAGAAACGATTATGTAAAACTTTTCAATGCTATATAAACATTTAAAACGCCTTAATAGTAGTTTTTTTAATAATATACATATATGATATTGATATTGAAAGAATAATTCAAACTTTATAATGAATTTTGA